TGAGAGCGTGGTCCTTCCCCGGTCGAGTCGACCCATCCGTGCTACAACTATACCAGTAATATAGCTGCAGCATGGCACTACCACGTAAAAAAACGGCCCATGTGCATCTGTAGACCTTAACGGGTGGATAATGACAAAGAAAATGATGCCTACTATGACAGTATGCTCTATGTAACACTTTCCTATAACCATGCGCATATAAAAAAAGAATTTATTCCGAATTCGAAATACGAATACCTATTTAATAATATATCCTTCAGTCTCAATACAACAGACCGAATGAACTATTATATTACTTCGATTTCGGTACTCGGATATGTATATATAGAAAGTTGTAGGAAACTTCCAGATAGAAGTGTGGCGTCGTGACCGGGTCAAGGGGGTTTTGTGTGTGACGTCACCGGCCCCAGACTAGTCTGAAACCGCGTGTGGCTAACTACATAATATGGAATGAGCTAGCTTTTTTATAGATTATACAAATAAATAAAATTGAAGTGTCTGTCTGTAATATCGAAATAACTGATTTTAATGAGTTGAGGGGGTTATTTGTACGCCATTAACACCTAAATAAGCATTTTAATGATTTTGTCTGTTAATATTCGGAGTAGCTGAACCGATTGTAATGAAACTTGATAAACAGATAGAAAACAATGCCAGGAATGATTTAGAATATATTTTATCCTATCCAGACGAATCCGGGGCTGGTCGCTAGGATCTAATAAAATTATAACAAAATCGAAATTGTCTGTTGCACGTTTTCTTTAAAGAATATTTAACTAAAGAAAGTAAACTGCTAAATGTGATTTAGCAGCTACCGCATCCGGCTCGAATATGGACGTAAAATGAAGTTAATTTACGCTAATTAAAGCCATTCATTAAGTTACAAGCGCCTTCAAACATTTTCTGGATCATAATATCGGTACGAGTATGTTCCTAAATAAAGCACAAATACAGAATGTTGTATGTAAATCTATACAAATAAATAAAATTGAAGTGTCTGTTTGTAATGTCAAAATAACAGTTTTTACTAAATGCACATGAAAGCAAACACGGTACTTATAACTAAAATACAATTTTATTTTTAAAATTTTGTCTATTTGTTCCGGCGGATTTCATAAGGAGTAACGTAGGCTACTTTTATTTTAGAAAAAGAATTAGGGTTCCGTGCAAAAACATAAAAACCCTAACACGCGAGCGAAGTCGCGGGGGTACAGCTAGTATAATATATAGTACAAATATGTCCATGCACAATCACACAAGAAGGAAGTGTGAGAGTAGTGAAATTAATAGAAAAACATAAAAAAAGTAACATAATTTGTAACAGAATTAATTTGTATATGCTTAGAGCCATGCAGCAGCTATATTGGTAGTATAATTGTAGCACGAATGGGTCGGCTCGACCGGGGAAGGACTACGCTCTCACAGAACACTAGCTTAAAATAGCAGCTTAACTCTGCTGTGTTTCGTATGGTTAGTGTAGAGAACCGGAGATCCTTTTTACTTGAAATGAGGCATTCCACCTTAGTCCTCACGGCTTACAACGCATCTGCATTTTATTCGTAAACGAGGATAGATGTAGATGTCTATGGGCCATAGCAACCACTTACCATCAAGTGGACTGCGCTCGATTGTCACCCTTATCCTATAAAAAAATACTGTTGGGAATGAGTGTAAAAAAATTATCTTACAATACATATATATGATGGTTTTCGAAGAAAGACAGGGTAGTGGGAGTGTTCCGAAAGCGTTAATATTAAGAGCCATTCCATAGCGGTTTCATTAGCTAAATGGGTTCAGTAGTCTGGTCGTGAAACACTAGCAAAGTAGGACACACCTTCCATCGTTAATATACCTATTCTTTTTATTTATACTTCGACACTAATATTTAGGTTGGGTTGAATTGAATGGATTTTTTATCTATTATAAGCCAGTGCTAACTATTATCCCATCTGATGGTAAGTGGTGTTGCAGCCTAAGATAGAAATGCGCACTGATTTAGTTTAACAAAAGCCTATTCATTTTTGCCTTGACGATACATACATGGAAAGAAAGATTCCGCTCCTTTGCTATATGTGTGGACGACAAACAAATAGTTTCGTTGGAATGTGTCCTATTTCTACAACAAAGGGGTGGAGACCATCCCGTGTATGTCGTAAGAGGCGGAGGCGGAGGATATAAAAAAGAGCAGCAGTGTCTTCCCGATAAGCCAAGCGTGGCAACTATTGCAAAAATCCCCCTATGAGGCAATATATGGCAGACGCTTACGTTCAGCAGCGGGTTTTTAATAGCCTGCAATGTTGAATTTTGTATACTTCATTATTAGATACGGCAAAGGCGAAACGCCGGAATTCTCCTTGTTCTATCCCCAATTTTGGATAAAGCAACTTAGCTCAAGATAAATTCGAGTATCTTTTTAAAACTCATGATAATATTTTTCGCTTCTCTCATTTTTGGTTTATGATTAATTTCTTTACTATACAGATTACACTGCTCTCGAATGCCTTTTGTTATTAGAATAAGGGTGACAAAAAGACATCTGCATCTATCCTCGTTTGCGAATAAAATGCAGATGCGATGTCAGCCGTGAGGTTTAAAATGGAATGCCTTCTTCCAGTAAAAAGGGTCTCTGGTTCTCTACACTCGCCAAACGAAACACAGCAGCGTTAAGCTGCTATTTTACGCTGGTATTCTGTGAGAGCGTGGTCCTTCCCTGGTCGAGCCGACCCATTCGTGCTACAAATATTAATATAGCTGTAGCATGGCTCTACCACGCATGAAATTTCGTGTTTGAAGACGTAAGAAATGCGCCAATTATTGAAAGGGAGGTTAGTACATTTTACCCCGGGATTTTCATAAGGCGTAAAATGGTGAGTGTCGAGACGTATTTTATTAAAAAAGGGGCCTTCCATCTTAGTCCTCAGGGGTGCCAACGCATCTACATTTTGATTTCTAATCGATGATTAATGTAGATGTGTGTGGGCCACAGCATCCACTTACCATCAGGTGAACTATGCGCCCGTTTGTCACAGTTTTGTTTAAAAAAAAAAAGACTTATTTTTTAAACAAGGTGCTGTTAAACGATATGAATGTTAAAATATTTAGATATTGTTTGCAATTTTATATAATGATACTTGTGTATATTGTTATTATATGTTACGAGTATTTATTTATGTATTTGTGAGATGAGTATATATTATTATGTTTGTGTTTATCTCTATATATAAAAATCTAACAGCAATAGATTTTTATATACAGAGATCGAAATATATAAAGAGGTTTTGTTTTTATTTACGACCTTATCTTGTAACGTGATAGCATGAGTGGTGAAGACGCGCGCATTAGTCACGCATAGCCGAGATAATTTTTGATGTCTGGATCGCCCAGTGCGCGGAGATAATAGTTTATAAATTTCAAATTATCATTTAATGTAAATTGCTTCCTTTCAAAACTCACAGAACTTGATTGCGTGTTTGAGGACGCAGTAAGCCAGTGAGATAGTGACATTATTTTCGTTTGAAACGTGAGTCATTAAAACTACACGATTTTGTAAAATTAAGAAAATCTAAAGCGGTTTCAAATATCATTGGATCTGATTGAATTTCGTATGGGACCACAGTGGAAGTATACTTATGAGAATAGAATAGAATGGAATTTCAAAAAACCTCTGAAACGAAAAAAAGCTGATAATGTTCAAACAGCTGAACAGATTTTCTTGAATCATAGCTAAGAACACTCTGTATCAAGTCACCTCTCTACCAAAGAAAATTAAATCAAATTCGGTTTATCCGTTTGGGCACTACGATGTCACAGATATACACGTTAAACTTATAACACCCCCTTTTTGCGTCGGTAGTAACAAAGGAGAATAGATTGCGGATAATAATATTAATACTAATAATATAATAAATATTATATATAAATCTAATATAAATATACTCAGATATAATAATTGATTGTAAAAAATATTTTCTTTTAGTAGAATATTAAAATTATGTAAATCAAACATAATTTTATTAAATCTACTACCGTTTCAGAACATGATTCTTCCAATTGGAGAAGAAAAATAATAAAATCGTTTTGTAACTAAATAATTTTCTTTGACATATAAACTAGACGTTAAAGATGACTCCTAAGTGAATTACAAACAAGCTACTATCAAATAGGTAACTCCTACACTAGATCACAGTACACGAGCAAAAATACACTTATTTAACCGTACCTGAGTTAACACACCTAGATTAAAATGCAGATGCGTTGTCATCCGTGAGGACTAAGTAAAAATGCCCCTTTTCCAGTAAAATGGGTTTCCGGTTCTCTACACTCACCATACGAAACACAACAGCATTAAGCTGCTATTTTACGCTGGTATTCTGTGAGAGCGTGGTCCTTCCCCGGTCGAACCGACCCATTCGTGCTGCAACTATACTATTAATATAGCCTGCAGCATGGCTCTATCACGTAAAAAGTTCTTAGTAATATATTATAGTGCCGCTTGTTAAGTGTTAAGAGTGTTAAATGTTTTCATATGCAATTTACAAATTTTGACGTACAATGTAATAAATAACGTGACATTTCTGCTGTTATTGACTACTTACAAGTTATAGATTACATTATAAATAATAAATTTTTTCCCTTTTTTATTTTCATTCATTTTCGTTAGCTATACCAATAGATATTGGGTCGTAATCTAAAATATCGTACATCTTTTCATCATAATTATCTCTCTGACGCATGATTATAATTAAAAGATTCTGTTATAATTATAAGATAACTAAGCAAACCTAATATGTAGGCAAAGTATTTTTTTAACAATAGAATAATTTCAGACATGAATTATTAACATATAAAGTAATTAAATAGTTATTAAGTTATAAGGTTAATTAAACATTAACCTTTTGTTATTTTTAATGAATCTTAAAGTAACAATTTATACGTAATGAATATATTTTTTTTAATCCTGAAAAGTTAAAACTTAATTATATAAAAATATAGTCGCAAACCTTCAGCTTTGATTTATGCACGACGTCATTATTTTGCAAGGAGTCGAAGGCATGCCATATACAGTTGGTAACATTTTTCAATAGAGCTGACATTTTAACATACAATAACACACAAAAATCACATTAAATTGTTTAACAACCTTCGCAGCCTTGACCGACAATTTTTATTTTTAATTTAATAAGTACACAGTACGCGTCGTGCGTTCGCGCGTTCGAAGTTCACACTGGCAGTGGCAGCTAAAACGCAACGCAGTGATTACAAGCTCTGTGCTGGCTTTGCTATCAAAAGTGAGTGTACACTGTACAATATATTTTTTTTTTGTATCAAACAAAAGGAAAAGGGTAAATGGAATGAAGCTTTACATGTCAAGAAGTTCAATTGTTAGAATCACCGATAGGTTTCATGCTAATAATAAAATCTTTCTCACTGTGCACATTAAAAGGCAAGGATGCAGTTTTCGCTACAAAAAAGAAACAGCAACAACACATCACACACACGCAATAAATTGGATTATTATAATAAAATAAAATGACAAACGAGCACACATAGCATCTGATAGTAAGTGGATGCTGCGTTCCAAAGACTTTCTTTTTTTCTCTCTTTATTTGTTTTGTACCAAAAATAAAGAAGGAGGAACAAGTAAAATACTTGCGGTACTTACCTTTTATTTTATTGTAAATATTATACCAAATTTTATTATGTACATAAGTGGTGCTCGCAAAAGTAATCCTCGAACCTTGTGCCCTAGGCTTGAGACTAGTTAGCCTGTGGGTAAATCAGGCCCTGGAAACAGCAGCTTTAAGTTACACACTGGTAATCTGTGAGAGCGTGATTATTCCTCGGTCGAGCTAACCCACCACCTAGTTTAATATCAGATTTTAATGTCAACGGCTGAACATTGGACCTTAAATACTGTTCCTTGCCACAGTCGCGTAATAGCTCCATATCGTTTTTCATCTCCACCTTGTAAAATTTCACTGCTGGACATTGGGCTCTCCCATTGTTTGTGGATTTTCCTTAATCGCAAGATTTGGCAGATGGATTGGCGATCGCACTACCAGACGTATCCCATCGTTAACATTTCCCCCCGCCGCCGGGATTTTACGTTAGGCGTGAATAGGAAGATTCAACTGTCATTTGTCACCTCATAAAATCCCATAGTCGTCTCTTTCAACATTCAGGGGACAAAATGAGGTGTTTAACTCTGTTACGTCGCCATAACACAGTAGGTGGAAATTAACGGCAATTTTAGGTAGGTACCTCACTATCATTCGGTCATTCCAGGTCCATTTTTACTTGATTGATATAGTCGACTGTAATAACATCATCGAAATAAACAACAAAATTAACAACTGTCCTTGAGTCCACGACTGCAAATGAATAGTTACAAGACTGCGCTAACAAGTGTTACCAAAAAAATATAATATACGTGGTAGAGCCAGGTTTTAGCACGATTTGATTGGAGAAGGACCACACTCTCACAGAATACCAGCATGAAACAGCAAAACAATGCTGCTGTGTTTCGTACGGTAAGTGTAGAGAAGCAGTGATATTTACTGGTAACGAGATATACCATCTTAGTATTTAGGAGGGGGGGGGGGGGCAACCTGCATTTTGATTCTTAATCGAGAAGAGATGGAGGTGTCGTGTCTATTGGCTATGACCGCCATCTATACAAATAAATAAAATTGAAGTGTCTGTTTGTAATGCTAAAATACCAGCTTTTTATTAAACGCATATGAATGTATATACGGTATTTATAACAAAAATACAATTTTTAAATTTTTTGTCTGTCTGTCTGTCGGTCTGTCTGTTTGTTCCGGCTAATCTCCTAAACGGCTGGACCGATTTCGATGGGACTTTCACTGACAGATAGCTGATTTTGTAAGGAGTATCTTAGGCTACTTATATTTGAGAAAAATAATTTGGGTTCTGGGCAATATAATTAAAACCCTAAATTACACGTGGGCGAAGTCGCAGGGAACAGCTAGTTTAAAATAATTCTACAAGAAAATTGCCAATTCTCCCGCTGTTTACTAGCAGAGTAATCGTAATCTCATGTCGTTCCGTGGGTGCCGTGACAAATATGGGAAATGATAAAATTATCTTACAGTTTCTGAAAGATGACGGTATAACAATCTCGTTTATATCAGAGGATGTGCCCAGAGCGGCAATGGGTAGAGATAAGCAGCAATGTCAAAGGTGCTTGACATCTAGTACTCCGATCGGCAATCCACCGGACGAGCGTGACGATCAAGCCAAATCCTACTTAACGGATAATCCAAATGCCCAACAGAAAAAGTTTTGTGGACTGATAAAGAAGAGGAAGGTAGTTATCATGCTGAGCAGGAGTGTTAGAGGGAGCTGATACACTCGCACAGGCAATACTAATCTTCATTACAGTTCATAAAATTTGTTGTCGGAGCCTTATTTATCAATCAGTTCCGTGTGAAAGTGAGGTTGGCATTTCGAGAAATAAGGTGGTATATTCTTAACACTCCTCAAGGATTAAAAAGGGGCTCTCTTACGCTATCTCTCGTGGGACGATGGGTCCTTTTTAAGATTAAAACATAAATAATAATTTAAAATTATTACTCAAAGTTAAATTATTGAACTTAGCCATTGTAAATTAAAGTTTTTTTAAAGCATTACAGCAAATAAATATCTTTTTGACAGGCTTGACTGCAAATTGCAATATAATAGTCAGTAACAGGATATCTTATAATATAGAAATGAATCGCTGAATGTGTTGTTAAGCGCAAATCTCGAGAGCAGCTGAACCGATTTCGATAATTCTTTTTTTATAATGTTCCTTGAAGTACGAAGATGGTTATAAAATAAGTTAAAAAATTGCCTGAAAAAGTCTAAAAACAACACTTTTCTATATTCCCATACAAAAGATTCGTAATAATACTAAAAGTCAATTTGGACTTTAATACCATACCATAAAGTTTAAGTGTTAGTGGAGGGGTTCCGGAAAGGCAAAACAATTGAGTGACGTTAGTATCGTATAAATATTAATGTCAATATTTGTCAATATTTATAAAATGGTAACATTACTCAAAAACAAAATTAGGGTTCCGCGCAAAAAAATAATTGTTATCCATGAAATCGTAGTAAATTTCAAGCGGGCGAAGTCGCGGGGCACAGCTAGTGAAATCATAAAAATGACTTGATCGTTAAACATTGTAATATGAATATAAAGTTTGATATTAAGTCGTAAAGTATGAAATGGAATATTAGACTCTTTTGTATACAAAAAAAGGTTTTCCTGTATCATAGAGGCGCTTTACGTAGGTGCATATATAGCATATTTAATATAATTATAAAAATTAATGTTCGTTTGTTCGTATTTTAGCGCAACCATACCATTCCTCAGATTGCGCTAAAACTTTGTCGACATAATATTGCTTGCACTTGCGCGAATGTTATAGGCACTGTACAATAAACTTACACTAGGTGGCGCGCGTATCGTACCGCGAAAGTTATAAATATCATTCAAATTCAATAAACATATTATCATATGTAATAAAACAATAGAACTCTTCTAAATTTAAAACGATATTTTCACAATTATTTCTTCTGCGGCAGCAACGCGTCTGGTACCAGCTAGTACTATCAAAGTAGTAGTAATATCAAAATTTTAACCCGGTACAATAATTATATGGAGGCCATTCTACAACTCTTATTCCGGGCAGGATTAGTAGTTACCTGCGACACCGCATCGTCTTAAGCAAACGCTCCTATAAACAATTTTTTTATTTCTTTACTAGCTATTCCCCGCGACTTCGCTCGCGTGTTATTTGGGGTTTTAATTTTGCGCGTAACCATAATTCTTTTTCTAAAATAAAAGTAGCCTAAGTTACTCCTTGGGACATCAGCTATCTGCCACTGATAATCCCGTCAAAATCGGTCCAGCTGTTTCAGAGATTAGCCGGAACAAACAGACAGTCAGGCGGACAGACAGACAGAAAAAAACTTTAAAAATTGTATTTTTGTTATTAGTACTCTATATACTTTTTATATGCATTTAGTGAAAAGCTATAATTTTGACATTACAAACAGACACTTAAATTTTATTTATTTATGTAGATTATATATTACTTTCAACACTTATTTACGTGTACATCCATCTATACATGCTATAGACCTATCCTATAGCTTGCCTCAAGGCTTTCGCCATAGTTGCCACGCTTGTCAGGCTGGTTGGCAACCGCAGTTTTCTATTCATTTGAGTGGTTATCAGGAAGGTCTGCTCCTCACCTAGTGTTTAAGTTTCTCTCTGCCGCCTCTTACGATACCCCCGGGACGATATGGGATGGTGAATATCTTTACACCGCCACTAAATGGTTTAATTTACGGTTAATTTACGTGTAATAGAGTCAAATAGAGCCGTGGTAGCTCAGATGGTTAGCGCTCGCTGTGAATTTCATAGTACGCGATCAACCCGGGTTCAATCCCCGCCGGTACCAATGAAATTTAAATTGCAATTTTAAGTGCTGTTTTACCACGTGCTCAGTGGTGAAAGAAAATATCGTGAAGAAGCATGTCTGAAAAATAAGAAAAAAATATTTTAGACATGTGAATTTCGCCAACACACATAGGGGCAGCGCGATGGAGACTTCCTTACAAACCGGAAAATCTTCTCAGAAATGAGAGGAGGCCTGTGCCCAGCAGTGGGACGTATAGTAGTAGTAGTAGGGAAGCCGCGGCTACAATTAACAGAGGTAAATATTACACGCGAATTTCTCTAAAACTATAAATACTGAACCTAAAATACTAGCTGTGTTTTAAAACGCCGAATAGATCACGCCACATGACTCGTGATTGATCAATTCGTCGTTGACCTTCGTGAACCTTTTTTTTATAGAATTAGGGTGACAAACGAGCATACATCACACCTGGTGGTAAGTGGTTGCTGTGGCCCATAGACATCTACATCTACCCTCAATTACGAATCAAAATGCAGATGCGTTGTCACCCGTGAGGACTAAGATGGAATACCTCGTTTCCAGTAAAAAAGGGTCTCCGGTTCTCTACACTCACCATACGAAACACAGCAGCGTTATGCTGCTATTTTACGCTGGTATTC